ACTGCGTGTTTGACGTGATGGTGGATGAGTTGTTTGACTAGGTGAAACTAGGAACGTAGCTTAGCAAGTTCGACCTTTTGATACAACGGTCTACACTCCTATTATTGATGCCTGACTCGTAGACGACGAGCGAGGACTTATGGACAATGCGTCGTCCTGAAGATCGAGCGAGGAAGTCGAGAATGACCACTACCCCAAGCGAAGAGGAGCAGAGACTTGAATGAATAACCAGGTCGAACTTAGGGTTCGACCGACTAATGGTACAACTACTTATACAAGTACCGACTGCGCACGGACCATCGTGTCTATGTGGTCGTGTTAGTGAAGAAAGAAACGTAGTGGTACGATATCAGGCACGAAGTGCGCACGGACCCCATTATGTAAGCTACATAATGTTCAACCTGCGGGTGAGCGCTAAGACAGGCGCCAGTATGGGCGCTAGTAGTACAAGGAATAGAACGGAAAGACAAATGTTTCATTCAGTACCTGCACTTCAGTGGGCGGTACTTGTCCTCACGGACGCATGGCATAGGTTCCTGCTGCATACTAGCCAAAAGCAGTACTGGGCCCCACGTGAACTGCGAACCCTAGTGTTACCTCGGGCGCCGTAGGTGTAAGCTAGTCTAACACGGCCTTTCGTAGCACGCGCACCTCCCCTTCCTCCCCCCATCACCATGGCTGACGAATTCTTCGACTGCTCTCGACTTGAGCACGCCTTCGACACCCAGGAGCAAATCGATGTCTCCCGCGATGACCCAGAAAGTGACGGAAACCGAGCCCCTTTCTTCATCTGTGATCGGCAACCGTGCCCTAATCGTACTCCGCGGTCCATCACTACCGACGAAGGGCGCTACGTGCCAATCCGACGAGTCCAACACCCCCGCGGCCCGGCACTTCGATATGCTGGCACCTCGAGATCCTCATCTCGCCACGTCACTCCAGCTCCTTCCCGACCTGCGTCCCCAGGCACCCGCATCCCCCAACCTGTCGCCAGTACAGGTCAAGCACAAGGAGATCCCAATCTCCCTCGAGGAATTGAGGTCATCGCACAGCCTACAGCGACCCCTCAAACGATCTCCCAGTCCTCCTTGGGGTCACGGTTGGAAAGGAACCCGAAGCCTGAGCCCCGCGACAGTCCAGCGGTTACTTGGGCCAGCTCGTCGTCAGCAATCTCGTCCTCGACTCCAGTCCCTGTCGTACGTCACCCCGCCACCAGACTTCCTCCGTCGCCTCCACCGCTGTCGTCGCCGCAAGGCCGCTCGAGCACTCGCTCCTCTCGAAGTTCGCCCGGCGGACAGTCACAACAGCCGTCTTCGCCCGCGGGCAGTCCTCCGTCCCCCTCGTCGCCGGTAATGTCCTCACCAGCGTCCCCCCCTGATAAGGACACTCTAAAGCTCCTCCTTCCCCTCCGATATGATGGCAAAACCGTCATCGAATGCGACAGGTTCCTGTCGCAGCTGCGCATCTACTGGCTGGTCAACACGTCGTTGACCACCATTGAACTCAAGGTGCAGGTTGCACTGAGCCTGCTCGACGGTGACGCCCGCACCTGGGCTACTCCATACTTCGCCCAACTCGTATCTGTGCAACTCGGTGTTCTGGGAGTAACGACCCCCTTTGCAAATGAGGCGGCCTTTGCCACGACTTTCAAAGCCCGCTTCGGCAACCTCGATGACGAGGCAGCGGCCCAGGTAGAGCTGGCCAAACTCTGCGCGGACAAGTCGGTCCGCAAAAAACACACTGCTGCGGAGTTTTCTGCGCTGTTCAAGGGTTCGGCGGACCGTTCCGGGTACGGGGACCTGGAACTACGCGACAAGTACCTGAGCGGCATCCCCTCCCGCGTCTACCGCAAAATCGAGCTCGAGACGTTTACTACGTGGGAAGACGCTGACAAGCGCGCCACGGAGGTCGAGCAGATCCTCGACATCAGTCGGGCCCGACGGCCCGAGTTGAACAACTTCTTCTCGGCTCGAGGTCGAGGACGCAGTGGGGCACGTGGTGGTGCGCCCCAGTCACACGGAGCTTCGGCCAGCATCAATGCAGCCGTCGGAAAAGGAAACTTCCCTGGCACTTGTCTTGGCTGTGGGAAGCAAGGGTACCGACGCTTTGAGTGCCCCAATTGTAAGGACAAGCCTTACACAAAACACGCCGACACACGGGCTACGGTTGCCTCGGGTTCCACCCAGGCCGCGACAAGCGCCCCCGTCACGACATCACCCTCGGCAAGTATAAGTGCCGCTTCAGCGAAATCCGAGCAATCGGAGCTGGCGGACTTAATGGCACAGGTGAAGTCGATGCGCGAGGAGCTCGAGCACTATCGGGCGATGAAGGAGGAGGGTTTTTGATCTGGTCCGCGCTTCGTGCCGCACGCGTCGGGCCGCGAGTATCATCTTGTAATAAGTATAACGTATTGTCAACTGCAATGGTGTATGAGCTGGACCAGGGGTCCCAACATTTTCACATTCCAGTTCGACTCCAAGGGAAAAGACGGCACAAAGACGTAATCGCTATGGTGGACAGCGGAGCCACCACGAAGTTTATCAACAAGCGATTTATCGTAGAAAATAAGGTGCAGACGCGGAAATTGAAGGAGCTGATTCCGCTATACAATATCGACGGCACCCTGAACAAAGACGGAAGCATCTCGGAAGTAGCAGTGCTACAGATGCAGATAGGAGAACACGTCGAGAAGACGGTGTTTACGGTCACGGACATTGGTCCAGAGGATGTGATCGTTGGGTTGGATTGGCTACGCGAGCACAACCCCGAGATCGATTGGGAGAAAGGCTCCCTCAAATTGTCGCGATGCCCTGAAACGTGTAGTGCCAGGAAGACTGGCCGAATGGAGCAAGCAGCGACTGCACATGATACGGGGGTCAGGCCCACGGCGCGCAGGTGTTCGCCGAAGTCCAAACGGTCGGTTATAGGCGCTTGCCGGAGTAAGGTACTCCTGGACTTCGAACCCGAAGAAGATCCGGCAGAAGTAGAGTGGGATGAAGCCGACTTGATTGAAGCCTGGGAGCAAGGTATCACGCTTCCTGGCGCCCCTCAGCTGTTCGTCGCAGCAGGGCATACGTACTCCCAGCTGTTCGCTGAGGAGGAGATCAAAAAGAAGGTCGTTAAGACCGCCGAGGAGTCGGTACCTAAACAGTACCACGAGTTCCTGAATATCTTCTCCAAGGAAGCATCAGAACGGCTACCCGAAAGGAAGCCTTATGATCACGCGATCGAGCTCGTGCCCGGCTATTCGACGTTCCACTCGAAGGTATATCCCTTATCGAACAATGAGCAGGAGGAACTCGATAAGTTCCTAAAGGAGCAGCTGGCGAAAGGCTACATACGGGAATCAAAGTCGCCCATTTCGTCTCCCTTCTTCTTCATCAAAAAGAAGGAAGGGACGCTTCGACCCGTGCAGGACTACCGCCGATTAAACGCGATCACAGTCAAAAATCGCTACCCGCTGCCGCTGATCGCCGAGATGGTGGACAAGCTCCGTGGCGCCACGCTCTTTACCAAGTTCGATGTCAGATGGGGATATAACAATGTCCGGATCAAAGCTGGTGATGAGTGGAAAGCCGCCTTTGTGACTAACCGGGGATTTTACGAACCCCTGGTGATGTTCTTTGGCCTCACCAATTCCCCCGCGACCTTCCAGGCGATGATGAATGACATCTTCCATGATCTCATTGTCGGCGGAAAGGTCCTTGTGTACCTAGATGACATACTCATCTTCTCCACCAATCAGGGGGAGCATGATAAGGTCACGCGCGAGGTCCTTCGACGCCTTCAGGATAATGATCTGTTCCTGAAGCCTGAAAAGTGCGAATGGGATGTTCCCAAGGTCGACTACGTCGGCTATGTGTTTGGTGGCGATGAGGTAGCGATGGATCCCGCGAAACTGAAAGGAATCAATGAGTGGCCGGTACCCCGGAACAAAAAGGATGTCCAGAAGTTCCGGGGGTTCTCCAACTTTTACCGCCACTTCATTAAGGACTTCGCTAAGATCTCGCGACCACTCGACCGGCTCACCGGGAACGACCCATGGCATTGAGGCGAAGAGGAGCAACACGCCTTCGATGAGCTCAAACGACTCTTTGCGACGACTTCAGTCTTGGCGTTGTACAACCCTAACCGGGAGACGTGCATCGAAGTCGACGCCTCGGGCTACGCCACTGGCGGCGTGTTGATGCAGAAGCAGGACGACGGCAAATGGCACCCCATCGCCTTCCGGTCTCACGCTATGGACCCCGCCCAGCGCAACTACGAGATCTACGATAAGGAGATGCTTGCGATCATTGAGGCACTAGATGACTGGCGCCATTATCTCGAGGGGTTACCCAATCAGTTCGAGATCGTAACCGATCATAAGAATCTCGAGTACTGGCGTACATCCCAGCATCTCACGCGTCGTCAAGCACGATGGTCGCTGTTCCTGGCTCGCTTCGACTTCCACATCACGCACAAGGCCGGGACATCCAATGGAAAGGCTGATGCCCTGTCACGTCGATCCAACCATCAGATCGGCGATGAGGACGATAACACCGATCAGGTAGTTCTCAAACCGGAAAGGTTCCGCATCGCCTCCGCCAGGCGCGGTCATGCCTCCGTGACAGCGGATCAGTCGCTCCTGAAGCGCATTAGGGAGTGTTCGGAAAAGGATCAGGAGGTGGCCGAGGCACTTGAAAAGGTGCAGGACCTCGGGCCGCCCCGGCTGCAAAGGGGTTTTGAGGAGTGGAATGCCGAACAAGGGCTCCTGCTGTTCCGCGGATGCGTGTACATCCCAAAGAACGCGGAGCTCCGGCGGGATATAGTCAAGATCCACCACGACTCGCCGATCGCCGGTCATGGCGGTCGTGCCAAAACCCTTGAGCTCGTATCGTGGAATTACTGGTGGCCTGGGATGTCCAAATTTGTCAATGAGTACGTAAGCACCTGCGATGTGTGCAACCGTACCAAGACATTCCCAGCCAAGCCCCAGGGTCCGCTGAAGCCGAACGAGATCCCCGAGCGCCCGTGGCAGATCATCACCACGGATATGATTGTTGGCTTGCCGAAGTCTGATGGGTTCGACTCGATCCTGGTTACCGCCGACCGCTTCACAAAGCAGGTCCACTTCTCAGCCTGTCATGAGACCCTGACGGCAGAAGGTGCGGCAGACCTGTACATCCGCGATGTGTTCAAGCATCATGGGGCCCCGGCCAAGGTCATATCAGACCGAGGTCCCCAGTTCGCTTCAAAGTATCTCCATGCGGTGTACAAGGGACTGGGAATCGAGCCGGCGCTGTCCACAGCATTCCACCCCCAGACAGATGGCCAGACTGAGCGCTGGAATCAGGAAATTGAGCAGTACCTGCGTGCTTTCACAAGCCACAGGTAGGATGATTGGGCGAAGCAGTTGCCGCTCGCGGAGTTCGCACTGAACAACCGAGTTCACTCCGCGACCGGGCACTCCCCTTTCTTCCTGCATCAAGGGTACAATCCTGAGATCCAGGTTCGGATCAATCCGATGTCCACGATGCCCGCTGCTGCTGATCGGCTCAAGATCCTGAAGGAGATTCGGGATGATGCGCGCTCAGCGCTTGAGCTATCTGCTGAGCGCATGAAGGTGTACTACGACAAACACGTGCAGGAGGCACCGGTCTTTGCACCGGGGGATAAGGTCTGGCTTGATGCCCGGAACCTTAGGCTGAAACAGCCGAGCAAGAAGCTCAGTCCCAAACGCCTCGGACCATATGCCGTGCGGCGAAAGCTCGGAGACTTGGATTACGAATTAGTCCTGCCGAAATCGGTGCCAGTGCACCCGGTGTTCCATGTCTCCTTGCTTAGCAAGTACACGCGTAGCGAGATCCCGGGCAGAGAGCCGGAGGAGCCGCCTGTGATCGAGGTTGAGGGCGACGAGGAGTACGAGGTTGAGCGGATCAAAGATTCAAGGATCTTCCGACGTCAGCTGCAGTACCTCATCAAGTGGAAGGGTTATGACGACTCGCATACATCATGGGAACCGGCGCGCAATGTTGCCAATGCGCCGGCCCTCATAGCCGACTTTCACCGGAAGAACCCGAACACCCCTCGTCGACTCAATGCTGCTATCTTTGGTGGTGTCAACTTCCAGCCGATGCCGTCGCCGCTAACTGAAGCCCGCTGCCGCTCCGGGTGGGAGATGGGCAAGGGTGCCTCGCATGAGGTCATGCGCCGTTGAGGGGGGGGGTAATGTCATGAGTTGGTACGGCGTCTAGCCGTTTTTTAATTTTTTCCTTTTCGCGGGCTCGAACCCGCGACCTCTGTACTACATACCTGATATGGACGCATCATATCTACTGTACGATTAGATTAGATAGGACGGCAGTGCGCGGCACAGCTCGGGCTCTGCTGACACAGCCTCTCTGACTCACCGGCCCCCGGGGCCGCGTCAGCATGCTGTGCACGGACCAGCTGTGCACGGACCAGTGCGCACAGCCTGCCCTTATCTCCCCATGTATATAAGCCGGCCTCTGCTGCCCTAGGGACCTCAGTTTCGACCTCTTGTCCCTAGGTCAGTAAGCTCCTGTATTCTCTTACCTACCTTACACTAACTAATACATTTTCTTGTCCCTAGCCTTAGGTTTGAGCTCTGCTCACCATCGCTTCGGTGAGACCCAGTCGAACGCCCCCAGCATTTAGGTTTTCCCCTGTCGCTTGACCTCAAGTCGCGACAGGTTCTACGGTAGCCTCGGGTAGGACACGCCATCTATAGCTGTCTCGCATAGGAGATCCATCCTATGCGAGACATCTGTAGGACGAGCATACCTCTGCGAGCCTCTGTAGCCATCAACGTGATGGGTAGATTGGCAGAACAATCCCCCGCCCAGTTTGGCTGCTTATCCATCTTTGCGCAGTGCAACACGTGGTCTTTGAATTTAAAGATTTCATATCATGATGTAGAGTAGAGAACAAAATCTGTTGAGCTATGAAGTGCGGCATATGGTCTGCTACTTGAAGCACAAGTCCACTCGCTGCACCAATGTGCCAAATACTCGGTGCAACATTCACAAGCTCATATGCACATGCAGCAGGAGCTACTGCAGATTGTTAGGTGAGTGTCCAAGTCTCCTTTTCATGCCATCATCCGACCTAGGCTACAGACTATGGGCCTCACTCAGGAACGAGCTGCCGCCAGCTGCACAGGATGACAACCTGTCTGACAACAATCTTGCTGCAAGTGAGCACCACAAATGAGCGCTGCTAGGCTCTGCAGTCGTAGTCCCGCCATACTGTATCATGAAGACTTCGCCAATTTCACTGAGTGGTGCAACCTGGCTCCTGGTACCCCGCCATTCCTGCCCTGTCTCAAGCCACCGGTCGCCTAGCGTGAAGCACAGGATCAGATGGGGGTGTCGATAGCCGGCTCCCTGTTTGTTGGAACAACCGGGCGAGCGCATGCCCGACTACCGGCTCGCCGACGTGCCGCGCTGCGGCGCGATAGTACCTTGTTCCTTCATACCTGATTTAGATAAGTGTTTACTATATTAGGCCGAGTTCTCGCATGTAATTACTTCGCGCGTTTGCCTCCCCGCCCCGAGGACGAGACAAACCGCTTCGTATTTGATCTTTTCCCGCGCCGCTCGCTTCCGTAAACTGTCGCGACTTGAGGTCAAGTGACAGGAGAGAATCTAAAGGCTGGGGGCGTTCGACTGAGTCTCACCGAAGCGATGGTGAGCAGCGCTCAAACCTAAGGCTAGGGACAAGATAATATATTAGTTAGGTAAGGAAAAAGGAATACAACTGAAGGCTTACTGACCTAGGGACAAGAGGTCGAAACTGAGGTCCCTAGGGCAGCAGAGGCCGGCTTATATACAGGGGAAGTTTAGGGGAGGCTGTGCGCACTGGTCCATGCACAGCTGGTCCATGCGCAGCATGCTGACGTGGCCCTGGGGGCCGGTGAGTCAGAGAGGCTGTGTCAGCGGTGCCTGAGCTGTGCCGCGCACTGCCACTCATCTAATCTAATCGTACAGTAGGTAGCAACGCGTCCATATCAGGCATGTAGTACAGAGGTCGCGGGTTCGAGCCCGCGAAAAGGAAAAAATTAAAAAACGGCTAGACGCCGTACCAACTCGTGACATAAACCTTCATGCTCGCTTATTCGAACCCGACGCCAACACTCGTTTCTACACTGTTCTTTTCGTTTGCCTCATTGTTGGACCACCGATGCAGCATCCGCCGCGCAAGGACCGCCCCCAGCGCCGTCGGCAAGGAGCACTTAGTTGTCCCGAAACTCGTAGGGCAAGGACACTGTGCGACCCGCATTTTGCTGTTCAGGTTCGGCCATGTGTGTGGTGTCCATTATCAAGAGCCGCTGCTGGCTTGGTTACACTCTACATGTATCTATGCTGTATGGAGTTTAAACCCGAGGATCCTGAATAAAAAATATGTACTGTATCACAGTAAACATAGATGCATACAAATTGATTCATATTTCCAGTTCAATTCAACATGTTTGACAATTATGATATATTACCAAGCAGCGAGCTAGATTAGGCTGTGTAATGTAATGATGGCAATCGGGATCCATCTTTGTCTACGTGTGCCTACATGTCTACATGACTCCCGGGCTACAGACTCCTCCTGTAGGACCGCTATGCTACACAGGACTCCTGTAGATGGGGGGCTGGCAATATGCCTATGAGACCTACATGGGCTACGCGAGACCTGTGTAGGCATTGTCGAGTTTGCAGATGTCGAATGCAATGCAACGATAAACCCTTACAAAGCATGCAATTGAAAAAGACTCTGCTGTCATGCACCTTCCAGGGAACTGTACCAACTGCCCCTTCAGCACTTCCGCTTCCTGCCTTCTCTGCATGTGTGCACATCGCATCCCACTGACGCACAAGTACCTGGAAATGCACATGAGCAGTTTCCTCCAACTCCCGGATGCTCTGGGGCGCGAACATGTGTGCCTCGACATGACGTTTGCGCGAATGCTCTGCACGGTTGCACGTGTTGAATAGGTTCCAACTTCTGAAATTTGCAAAAGTATCGTAGAAGGGTGCCTTCAATGCACCAGATGAGTGGCCATAGATGATTGCGAAGGCAGAGGGATCTGCAATAGAGACATTGTTGGGGCTGAGGCAAACGATAGGGCCTGCATGGTAAGGGAGTTGAGCAATATCTGATGAGGTATGGGTAGCGCAATATTACCGTATTGATGATGCAGAAGATTCACAGTCTCTGACCATCGGTTGTGGCTGATGACCCAAGAAGCCCAGCCAGATGTGAACTTCGTGAGGGATGGTCCAGGGTACACTCGAAGTTTGTATGGGTCATTGAAGTATGGAAATAAGATTGACGAAATTATGACCATGGTGATGAGACAGACTAGTACAGAGAGCATAGGTAGGAGGATACCAGCGAGGCCTTCACAAGTCAGGTTGATACTCCCAAGGGGAGATAGCGGTGATATCGACGACTTCATTGTGACAACACACTGAGTATGCCTTATTGGTTCCATTATATATGGAGTACATGCCGTGATGCGAGTCTATTGTCAATGTTAGAATCATAGGTCCTCGATTATCAGAATGCGGATGTACCAATCCAACTGCTGCTGGACATGGATGTGGCTGTGACCTTGCGATGGCAGCGGACAACGCAGACGTGAGATTGACTTCACTTACAAAAGTGGATCATGTAAGTCATGCTTCTACATATCACCGAAGTGACCTTCTTGGAACAAACTGGCTCTGGATGACAGGGATATCGCATACCTTCACGGATGCCTAAGACATCTATGCTGCCGGTGTTCCTCGTACACAACTTTGCTGAACCACATTTCCGAGAAACCAACTATGTGGCTGGGGGCTACCGACGGGCGCGGACTGGTACCCGAAGCATTGGATCGACAGTCTTTCTCACACATGACCACGTTGGTACCCCGATATACTGCACTTGAAATCGGTCGGGCACGCCACCCCACCCCCTGCTGTTTGGGCAGCGCAGCAGTCAATCTGGCACATTCAGATCACGAAATGGGCTGAGGATCCTGAATCGGCAAAGCTGCTGTCTCTGTATTCTGCATCACTCGACTGTAAGTCATTGTTGAATCAAGTCACAGGAGACCCACTCAAGACGATGAATACCCAGCGGCATCAGCCTGTAGAAGAATCGCAGAGACGCACAATTTTGTCAGCAGCCACGCTTTCAGAGTAAATCGAGTATCCACTGCGGGTGCCGGATCTACCTGGTGATGTACATCAGGCTGCATTTGACATGGACTTAATAGATATACTTGCGCTGAATGTACTAGTACGCAATGTCAGTGCACTTGCAGCGATATTGTTTGAGCTTGGTCGTGGAGGTGTTTCCTTTCTTGCATACTGTCACCATGCTCAGTGTTCACTCCTCCCTCCCCGTGTTGGGCCTCAATGGTCATTGCCACTCGAGCTCACTACCAATATTATGTTATCCAAGGCTTACCATGACGTTGAGGAGGCCAATGTGATTTTTTTTCAAACACAGTTTGACATTGATTCCCCTACACGAGCTAGAAGAACGACAGATAATCTAAGAGACTGTGAACACTGGACTCCTGTTACCAGGGCCCCCAAGCATTGCACAGGACGGCATGCTGGTCTTATTTTGCTGATCCCAACAGCCGCAGATTGCTCTCAGACTTTGGCAAGGAAGATACAGGATTGACGTCATGTACTGTGTGTAGATTTCTGCCAGTAAACCGGGGATCCTTCGAATTGGTGCATGCGATTAGTCAAACTGGCTGAGGCGGGAGACCCAGAACACGATCAGATCACGGTTGTGGCGCGACGCGTCCACGGCCCACCGCGAGGCCACCTCCGCTCCGACTGGATCTCAGATCACCGCCGCCAGATCTGCATCTCAAGTACTACATCCAGCATTGATGGCTCCTTCTGTCGGTACTTTCTCTACTCCTTTCTATACATCAACCATCGGTCTACGTTCTGCATGCTTCGAGGACACAGCCCCATAACCTGGGCTCAGCCCAGGGCAAGCCTGCATGGCGGCTCCCAATGTGATGGATTCTCTATAGTTCATCGACATGCAGCAGCGCTCCACAGGTGGGTTTCAACAAGCCGTGACTCCATTAATTCACCTCTGCCTCCTGAGACTTGACAATGTCAGTGTGCGCATTTTTGCGCCCTCCATCTTCTAACAGAAGCATGCACGACCCTCACATAGCTCCCGCTCTTTCCGGGCATCATTCGCTATGCTATATTCCAGTTCTCTCGCAAATCATCCCACCTTTTCCCTTTTTTCGTCTCCATCGGCCAGCCACCTCGCACATAAGGCATAGCGTATATCCCCGAGTTCAGCTGCCGGAGTTCTGCATATAACTACCAAACCCCAGCAGCATCCCCTCATCAACGCACCATCCAGTCGCACCACGCCCGATCCGTGCAACCCCTACCAGTACCTGTGTCAGCGCAAGCACTTGCCGAAGCCGGTATCGGACCGTGTCACTCCTCGCGCAGGCGATACAAGGGACTTCCTGTGGATCGTCCGTCATCGCGCGAATACATACACACAGTGTTTAACACCCGCACACACCACCACCACCATGACACCACGCATTCGCCCACTCGTTTATACCTAAGCCACGCGCCCAGACCACTTGCGATCTACCTTGCTCCCACTTTCGGCGAGGTTTGTGAGACTGCACATACGTCAAGAAGCACCCCTGCCCCACGCAATCTCTGCGGCAATACCGGGTTTGCACTGCCACCTATTCTCGGAGGCCTGTCTCAGTCCATAACGTTGCTAGTTGAGTGGGGTTCGTATATACAGGTTGGACTACGGTTGATCGCTCAATTCGCTCATCACACATCTCACTACCACTCCCTGCTTCGGAATGGAGGTTTGCCATCGCGAGACGCGCATGTGCTCGCACATCATCCGTGCCCCCCGTTGTCATGCATGGCGCTATGTTTGGTTGGTGATGCGTGAGTTGGTATGCGATGATAGTGAAACCTCTGCGAGTGGTTGCCAGGTCTTCCGAACCACGCATGAAGAAAAATGAAGCACCGAGAAGACTCTTTTGGTCCAAGTGTTTGGCTAATTTGCAAGCAATCGCTGATTTCTCTACACCTGCTACACCGGTAGGGACATATATAGAATGTTGCGGGGGCACCCGGAGATCCAGTAGCCCAGGCCTCAATCTCAGAGCGATTTCATTTGAGTGCCACGGAGAGAACGTGACTTTGGCTCGTAAATGTTGAATCTGTAGTGTGCGCTCTCGACCGGCTGTAGGGTCCGTAAAGTTTTTTTGTTTGTTACAATGCGAATCAGTTGCCAGTTCGTCTGATGGACAAAACGATACCGACGATCATGAATCGCATGACGAGCTAACACCTTGTGGTCGAAGACACCATTAATGCTCTGTCTCCATGGTTTAAAGAGTCCAAGCGACATACTGAGACATCTCCTGCAAACACATTGTGTGCACGAAGTATTCCATCAAGCAGTGTCTCAATACTGATCTCGCCTTGGTGCTGTTGCGAAGGATCCCGTTAATGTACAATCACATAGTTCCTCCCCGATAACCGAAACGTACCTCAAAGTCCCTCTGGGCATCAGCAATGGCCTTCTTCAACTCTTGTGGCTTATCTGCATCTCCTTCTGCGCTCCTTAGTCTCAAAAGATGCGGGTCTTTCGCATGTCGTACGCTTTCTTACTGAAAACTTGCAATCTCCTGAGTAATGAGGATCGAGTGACCTTCGACCGATGACAGCCCTGCTACGCACCTAGTCAGGTTATGGGTCCACTCTTCCAATTCAGGAGACATAGTCAGCGCTGTCAGACGTTCCTCCTCACTCCGCTTCTTGATCCCTTCCACGGCATGCAGCATACAGTCCGCGAGGGCCTCCACCTGCACGGCAACTTCACACACTACATGATCACTCTGTTTCATCTACATAGGTAAGCGTGGTAAGTGGATGCAATGATGGAATGAGGAACTAACTGCGACTGCGTCGATGATACCTCGGAGAGCAGAAGCAGCCTCATTTTATCCGGGTACATGCTGCAGGAGGCGGAGAAGATAGATCGAGCGGCGGCTAGTGTCACGTCGACAGCACTCAAGGAGATATGATACTTCTTCCAGAACGACGACTTGTACATGATACTATCCGCCAGTGATGTAGACTCAACGGGCTTGCCTGCCATAAGCAGACCTCGATATTCACCGACCATGGCTCTCTATGGGGGAGGACGATCGGCATATATAGGTCTTCTGCTTCAGAACCAGGGAACGTAGGACAGCATGTGACATGTGACATGTCGAACCTGTTCGCGCTTGCCGGTTGATGGCCGAGATATGCCGATGGCCCGCCGAGAGATCTTACCGCTATGTGGGTTCTCTTCACCTGCAGCGCACCTAGTCTGGGCGGTTTGCAAGCTTCTTCTCGCAGCTGTGGGAGCTACAGAGGCTCAATCCTACAAGCTTGAAGCAACCCAATTCATGCAAGACCACCCGCCACACCTGCGCCACAATCCGGCTTCATGTAAGCCGAAATCAGTCACATAAAGTCACGACAGCGGGGAGGAGCCTGGGCAACCCCCTTCAGATGCGATGCAACGTCTAATAGCACGGCAGCAGTCGGTTCCGAGCCCAGTCAGATCAGCCGCCTTGTCGACAAAATCTGAGGCTGATTCTATCCTGTCGGCTTGTTCAAACCTCTGCATCCATTGGCGACAATAATGCCTGAGTTTCCCTTAATGCTACCTGCTCTCGCTTTTCACATGCCAGTCCTGACGATAGCTCCTATGAGACTTGTAAAAGTTCGCTTCCATCGCGGCGTGAAGTTGGCGGATACCGCTACATCCGGCTTCGTCGACGCAGGAGGAAGTGTGGAGGCATCGCGCGCGGCGCCCTCGAGAGCTAAAGGTGTGGGCAACACCTGGCATCAGTCTTTGATGTGCTTCCCGAGCTCCCTCCTCCGGTCCCCCATACCCGCATGCCGTCCTAACAGTAAACAGTGCCGCAGCGACCGCAGTACCTTCTGCGGCTCCGGCGCCTGTTGCGGGATCGTCTGTTCTGCGCGGACTGATCCTATGGGCGCTCGCATCACCTGCCACATCAACACCGCCACGGAAACCTATTTTGTTCCTTGCGTTTTAATCATACACGAAAGTGGTCGTCATCACGATCGGTTTCTTCATGTTTGGCCAAGGTGTGTCTGCTGAACAGTCTATAGTATAGGATGAACGCTGCAGGCCCTCACTTTATCATCTGCCTATCTCACTGCGTGGTTCTTCTATCGGATTCGCAATTTATCTCGTATGCGAATCAGAATTGGTCATAAGGAACACTGTGCTCCAGGCTAGTTCGGAGTGTCGACAACCAATTCTCCCGTTGGCAATATATGATCTTGCGGTGACGCCTGTCGATGTCTTTCAATGGCGGGCGGAATGTCCGGACAAACCGGCCTGATGTGAGAACAAATCTTTAAATAGCAGACAGGCTCTTAAAAGACCTTATAAACGCTCAGCGTATGGAATAACATATATTGCCTTCTTGATACTGGGCTCCGTGCATTTATGGTTGATTGTCGCTCGTTCTTCATGCCTGGATGTGGATATGTTTGCCCTCTCCAGCACGCACGGTGTCGCAGGTTCAGCAAGTTGATATCCGATGTTGCGGTTACTCCCTAGGACGTATGCTGCACCGAACGTGAGCACGACCTTTGTTTTCTTTTGAGGAGATTAACTGGCGTCGGATTCAGGTCGGAACTCCTATTGGTCTAGTGACCATCCCTTTTGAAAATCATGCCACTGACTATACATGCTGGCTTGTTGTCTATGTCAAAGTTGTGAGTTGACTGGAGGCGCCATTCCATACTGTCAGTAGCAGTTGATGAGGATGGCTGTGTCAGATACGCCGGGACACATGTGACGGATGTCTCTTGTTTGCTTGTGTATTGCGTACAAGCTTGCGGCACCTCCCCTGGCCATGGACCATTCTCGGGCCTCTGTCAACAATTAAGGTGCCCGACTATGACCCGTGTGCGCAGTCATCCTAATATAAGCAAATAATATCCACATTGACGTAAGAAGGAGCAGACTAGTATCTGTATTGTACATTTGGCACCATCGAAACAGAGCTTTATCCAACGTAGACCTTTTGCACTGATAATCATGCAACTCAGCGCTTGGCGGACCAGCCGAAGCGAGACATGGTATCCTCTCCCTGCTGCCTGGCTCTATAATGGCTAGGCAGTCCGACATTATGGTAGCCGAGGAGACGGCGGTAGGTGGGACGTCACAACGGGGCTGATGAATTGATGATGGGCGGTGTATATGAGCGCTCGAGTGGCCATGCCAACATGGACATCGAAGCCTGACAGACGACAGGTCTGACCGATCGTGTTCAGCGTGTACTTGAATTTAATTTTAGATGTTGGGACTTGCTATTTAATGTCTCGACACAAGAAGCATACCATCAAGTGATCGATCCTTCGTCTGTCAAGTAGTTCCATTCGAATGAGTAGCTACCCACAAATGTGAGTACCACTCTTGGATTGCTGGACCTGGCTCTCGAGATTGACTATTACCACAGTAATGGACCCATTGTCAGAATTTTCGCTTCATGTACAGTCGTGGGCTGACCGCTCAACAATATTTCAGATTACCGGCACATTCCTTAATTGGGGCCTTCACGGTGTCTTATGCGTGCAGATATGTATGCCATCCTCATTGATGCGTCAAGTTTATGCTCAACGTGGCACAGATTTCTATCACATCTCCAGACATAACGATCCAATTTGGATTCGATGTTTCGGTAATTGAATACACATGCGACCAGGCTCCCATGCTCAAAATAACCTTCCATTCCAGTATACATTCTATTTTTCGCGGAATGGGTTCTGACGATCTTGCTCTCCGTGGCATTCCCCGCAATGGTCCTGAACGGCACCATGAATATCCAATATTGGCAAGTCTCGTGGGAGCTCTTCATCTCTGGCATTCCGATTCTATCTGCTTTGATCTCTATGGTGGTGCAAGTGTTCTACGCATGGCGAATGTGGCTCTTGTCAAATAGGAAACTGCTTATCCTCGCCGGTATTGTCGTTATTGTATTGTCCCGTTCAGTCCTTCATCTATCCCGACTGAGGAATGACCATTTCCCACAGCTCGCTCTCGGCCAGTTTGTCTGCGGATGCATCGCGGCTATGGCGATCACAAATTCTAACCCCGTAAGCATATAAACAATTCCCGCACTCATACTTCAATAACACCGCACGCCATAGTTAGTCCCTTACTACTCGGCGGACACACCCATATCATTTGCTCCAATTATGGTAAGTGGTTTATGGGCATTTATTCTACAACTGAGTACTGGCAGGGCTGGCTGGGGGGAGGCGCTCTCGTGGACATTATCATCGGCATCGCAATGTTCATCCTGGTGTGCTGACACCCCCTCATGTGCACCGGACAGTCAGGCTAACTTATGCGTTCCAGCTGCGCAAGTCGCGGCGTGGTGAGAAGGAGACGGATATCCTTCTCAATCGTCTGGTCAAGCATATCGTTGGCAGTGGAATAGTCACAGGTAATTATCTTCCCCCGTCAGAGGATGAATAGTCATTGATATAGTAAGCAGCCGGGGTTGCATTACTAGCGCTAGTACTTTATATTTATAGCGTGTTCGCGGCTGCGGCGCTTGCGGACTGCCCGTAAGTCTCACAACCCGTGAAGTTTGACGTGTATGCGCTGAGGTTTCTTTCATGAAGAATACTTGTTCTCCCCAAACTGTGAGTCGCCCCATTTTCACAAGTGCGTTGACCTGAGCCATATTGTTTAGATATGCGAACACTGTGCTCATCAGCCTCAATAATCGCGACCTTGTGCGTCGAGGGGGTGATGAGGAGGAGCATCGAATACTCTACAGGGACCTGTCCAAAACGCGTCACGGCTTACTGAGTCGTCTGCGCAAGATCCTGTCACGATCGACTAGTAATCGAGGGTTAGTATCAGTAGACCCCTTTTTGCTGGATAGCCAGCAGGGAACTACACAGGACAGAGTCAGCTCCCAAGAGTCGCTTTTGAAAACGGTCAGTGCAAGCATTTCGTCTTCATGGCATTCATCCCTAACACATCACCTGTACAGAATCTTCAAGGAAGCTCAAAGTTCACTGAGATAGACCTCTGTGCATGAATCTTGATACTGACAATCGTTCACCGTCTGTTTGTCACTGTGCTGAAATTGTTATCAGATGGGAATGTAACGCGTCATTGATTACGCTCCGTCGAGGAGCCAGGACCTGCGTGTCATGTACGGCCAAGTACCCTCTTCTTGTTTAATCAACCGGACTTGTAGCATCTCAATTTTTATGTAGCTTTTGTAGCTGGGCATGCTTCATATGCGCATTGGTAGCATGGCGTGATTTCTCAGACATATGTGTGACTCGTCTGGGTGGCAGGACGACAGTGGCGCCGTAGCTTGTTAGCGTCTTCCTTATGTCTGCTTTGAGCAAATATGATCATCCCCGGAGAGGTATACAAAATATACTAGGCTACCTGATTGCCCACTAAGTTGCATTGAAGGGGACGGCCTGCTGGCCGCAAATCCCCCTCAAGCTTTAGCCTCGAGGACGATGCAGGATCGACGAATGTACTGTGTGTAGATTGCTGCTGGTGACGCTTGACCCTTCGGATTAGTGCATTGCGATCAGTTTAACAGCCGAGGTCGTAGGCGGAACACGATCAGAACGTGGTCGAGGCTGTTGAATGATGTCCCGTGACCGCGTTACCAATTCGAGCACGTGAGCCATCCTCCACTATTCGTTCCCATTGTCCAACGTAGTGTAAGGCAAATAAATCAGTGTAAATTACACCGTACTTTTTTACCGGTAATTTACAAGTAATTTACACTTTTTTACAGGGCTGTCTGAATAGAGGTGTAAATAATGTAAATAAGGGTGTGTCACGTGTTGGGTACCCACGTTCAGCCGCCAATTGGGCCAATGCCTTGCACCCCGGGCTATTATTTGTCAACACTGCTTCAGTGCGCTACTCTTTGTATCTTTGTAGTCTACGTACTTATACACTGTCTCTGTAGATATCAACAGACTCTGCTCGAACATAGTACAAGTTCTGACTCACCTTTTCGGACTTAGCCACGCTGTCTCGGATCTAGCCGTAGGTACTTAGAATCTCTTAGAATGGTTCGAACACCTCTTGTATCTCTTTGTCGAGCCAACACCAGTATTCGGGCCTCTGCCCCTGTTGTTCGCGAACCTCTCGGTCCTCTCTCATCATAACGGCTCACGCTCTTCATCTCGCCCATTACAATTGCCCCCATCATCTAGGGCTGGGAACTTGAAGCCACAGCGGCTGCATGGATACTTAGGAGGAGCTAGTAAATGTAAATGAGGCAGAAGACGGCAACTTGGCAAGATGTTATGGGAGTTCAATTAGGATGTGTAGGTAGTCTGTAGCATATGCTAGATACTCTTTCTGCCCTTGCGTGCGATATGAATGCTCCCTAGAGCTTTTTTTAACATATCTTTACATTTTTCTACCATTTTTTACTGTTTTTTTACACACCGGAGGGTGTCACGTGCCGAAGCGCACATAGTCCCGTGATTTACTGTAATCTACATTTTTTACCATGTAAAAAACGGGGTTTCAAAACCTGGGTCTGTAAAAAAACGGTAATTTACACACCAATGAATTATTTACCCTACACTAGTCCAACGTCCAATAATACGCCGCAAGTCGAGCCACACACGCGCATCGCTCGCTAAAAACAGGCATTATCTGCACGCCGAGCGTTCGGTACTTCTGTTTAAGCGTCAAGCAGATAAATGACACATGGTAGGAATGTAGTGACTTAGGATGTGCATCCATTTGTGAAGCTTGTTTTCATGCTTCCGAACTTCTGTCATCGAATGTGGTAGCATCGAGGGTTGTGAGGTGTTCTAGTCCGTATGGCAAGCTTCTTTCCGTCTTCTGGTTGGATTGATGAAGAAGGTAACGCCTCATTAATGCATTTGCAAGGGTCAACTAACTATTTGATATGGACCCTGTTTTAGACAATTAATTTGGTCTTTAACACGGCAAACGACAGATATAGTCATGTCCGCCGAGCCTTTCCACATCCGTACGGCCAGATCACTGGCATTGAACCAGTTGCACCGGAAAGAGTCAACAAAAAGCAGGTGAGCCTGACAGTCCTCAGTATCTTGCATCTAATCCCGTGTTGAAATGGAAGCCAGGGCGTGTAAGCCCTCTAGTTGCGCACTTAAATGACCGCCGGATCCGCCTCAGCCTGTCCATCAGTTGCTATAGGTATCGTACCACGTTCCGCTGTGTCAATTCCGCGTATGTACTCTGTCGTTATGCGCAGAGTCAGGCCGGCTCCTGCAGGATGTAGTGATTAGTCCATTGCTATACCGACTTAGACAACGATTTCCCGCAAGACATGACTTCCAATTCATGATGCGACGCCGTGGAATTGCATTGACCCTCCATGACACTACACAGTGCTTCTGGTGCCACCGAGCATATTCCGCTCATAAGACGACACGTCTAAATGCCAACTGTCGTATTTGAATGTATGCTTAGGTGCGAAGTCCTACTTCATGTGCAAATCGTACTGCGAATGGCTATATCCTGGTGGATGGTCACTGAAGCATGCTGGGTAGGCAGTGACTCAGAAATAACATTGCATCATGTTCATCGTAATAGGGAGTTCCCAAGCATATCTCCATACTAATTGTAAGGTGCATGCGGTCCATCCTTCCCAGGGAGGATGAATGCATCCTGAACTACATCACAGAGCATCCGTCGTGCTCACGGAACGGAAGGGTATGACACTGACCACCTTCCATGCACTTGAGGGCGACCTTTCCATATGTAAGTCCCTGGAGCCCGTCAAGCTCAGCAGTCCTACTCGAATACCCACTACAGATATGGCGACCTCTCAGCTCTCCAACGGTGTTTACCTTCGCTCTAGTATGCTTTTTTGTCCTACAGTGAGCATGCTTCTCAATAACCTCCACAGCTATCAACGCTATACCCGCAACCAACCTTCAGGTCTTGTCGGCATTCGTAAGCTATTGGACCTCACGGCTTTACCATTCGTGACTCACGTTCTGGTCAGAGTTCGGATATCATCCCGCTGGGTCATACGCAGCCCGACATCGCCACCCTGGTTGCTGCATACAGTAATTTCATTGCTCATGAGATCGATCCCAGCGAGTCCAAGACCCGCATCTATCTGCGTGGCAAGGCAGTCATCAATGGTACCTCCGGCAGCGTTGACACCCAGGTCACACTCAAGACTATCCCTAACGAGCTCATCCTGTGGCCGCAGGCTTGGGAGAATGCTCCACAGATCGGTCAAGCCACGTTGAGCGCGTCTAAGGATGGCGAAGGTAACGTTGAATAGGCAGTACCGTTAGCTGAGGCGCTGATTTGTGTCCGTCATATCGACTGCAGTTGTTGTGACCAACACTCCTATCGTATACAATCCGACCCAGGGCCTTGGCCGCCATGACACCTTGATCGCTGAAGCGACGACTGGAGCAACGAAGGCGTCAGCGACCACACTGGTGCAGCAGGTCCACAACTGGCGCGATCTGGTGAAGCTCGTCGGCGAGGACGCGACGCTGGCCACGTACAACGTGGTCTTCGCCGATCCGTGCTCTACGAATGTCAGCTTGACGACGAGGCTCAGGGTGTTTGAGAATCAGGCTAGCTCCGTCAACATGGCCTTTGGAATTGAGGTATGGCTTGTAGATTGCGTCAATAGATATTCTAACCGAAGTGAAACACAGGCCGTCGGGACTCCTGCCAGCGATATCGATGTCTCTTTGGTTGGCTTCGGCGCCACGACTGGATGCAAGCCATTCACGTTTGGGCTGTCCCGTACCAACATCCTTCCTTCCAAGTTGCTTACCACGTCCTCCATTCTTCCAAAGGACTTTGACGGTACGGTGACGTTGAACGTGTTCAACGACAAGAAGCAGACGTTCAGAGACTACTCTTCCATCTCGGTTATTGCGTATGCTGTTACGGCGGTGGGCGGCAAAGAGACGTACACTACGCTGGGTGCTGAGCACATCGTCTTCCATTCGGACACGCGCGTGAAGAAGCTGTTCAACGATTTCGCTCGCGTTGTTAAGGCTCATGGGACTGCTAAAAGGACCAAGACTGCGACCTGGATACCGGACTTCTATTTCCGACAACATGTAAATGAAGGAGAGGAGTTCCCGCGAGGGAACGGGGCTGACGACAACTCACCTGGTACGCAATTATGCGATTGAAGGCCGCTGCATCTGACCATCCCCATTCATAGACATTCAACCATGGGGAAGGCTGCCTGACGCTAATGTCCAGACCAACCTAGGACCAGCTAACTACAAAGTCGACCAGTCCAACAAGCGGCAAGATGTAAGCAGTGCTTTTCAGGGATCTGGAGGCGACGACCATGCTTACCAATACGTAGGAACTGGTTGCTGATGTCTCTAACTACATATACGTGCGTGGGACGACCACTGTCCCTGGTTCCGGCTCTGTACGGCTGTTCGCCGTACCTTCCTCAGTTATCTTGCACCCTTCACTGTATGCTACCGAAGCGCACGTGATATATGACCACACCACTAGTGGAGGCCGTGAAGTTGCCATACGGAAATACAACACTCCCTCCGTCCAGTCACCTCACCCGATTCTCTTTTCGGAGCCATTCAACTACTCGGACCCGCCGGCACCTCCCACGGGCCAACACTACTGTCTCATTGCAGAGTGCAAGCCCGATGGCCTGAATAATCACGGCGTTCCGTATAAGTGGCCCCACCACGAGATCAAAGAGTTCTCTACAACCGCAGAATATGTCGCGTGGCTTCGTTTCACTCCGCACTTGTGTCAGCGAAACATCTGCTATATTCAAAACCACCATGCACCGTGCCACGTCTGCTGCACGAGCTTCACTATTCCGCGTGAGTACACGCTCTCAATATCAAATCTGTGTGCCTCATACATTACATGAAGCGACATTCAGCTGTTCGGATAATTAGATGTTCCAAGTCAAAGCGACCAATTGCCCTAAGGGGTCATACATGTCTGTATTTGTGTATCTCGTCCTCGTACAAGCATTGACACCGCATACAGCGAGATGGATTCTAGTGATGCTGATGTCAGGTTGAAGAAGGTTACCATCACTGAGCCTGACCAGGTACGCCGACGATTTCAGGTGACTGCAGACTGTGTGACGGAGTCCGCCTTTAGACTGCCAGTGTGCACTTCTCCGGCAAAGGCCCTGGATTCACCTGCCAGGTCGTCATCCGCTGGTACGCAAATGGGAAGAAGATTCATAAGGGCCAGCACATCAGAGGAAAACTTTGCTATGTGGCTTTGGCGACTTCGTGAGCATCGTCCGCACACGAGATGCTACTGCGGCTTGGTCTCATCCTTCATATCTAGACACTTGGGAAATGAATTGTTCAAGCTCCGCAACATCGGGGAACCGAGTACCCCTATTGTACGCACTGTCACTGCTGACTACCCGAACGTCGAAGTGCCCGGGAACGCCGATGAAAGCAAGGACAACGGACCTCCCAGAATTGGCGGTGCACACACCCGCCGTCTTCTCGGCGAGACTTACGCGGCTAAGGCGATCCACGTCCATTACGTTGTTGGCGACGACGGTATGGCTTACAATCTCGAGTGAACTGTAGTGTGTAATTCGGCGGTGTTTTCTGAATCGCCTATTGCTTCTTGGTTTTTGTTGATGTATAGTATGTATGGTTGCTTGTCCCTGTGTACGATAGCGTTGTATGTCATGATCTTCCGATCCTGCGACTTGGGAGGTCTTGTATCTTGATATCTCTACTCCTGTATCACGTCCGTTGACCTGTGATCCTCCGCTGGCTGCAGTCCTGTAGGGGATCTCGTTCCCTTTGTATTTGGATTATATTTCATGATGCAAAGCTCAATATTTGGCTTTACATCGTTACATGCATCTTGAGAGGCCTGACGCAAGGCGGCTACGACAACTTGACGCCCGAGCCGGGCGCACGATGCTGAAGGCCAACCCTCCACGCGTTAGCCTGAACACCCATCCGCCATCGATCAATCCAATTATATGGTGGCCTGTGCTAAAGAGTAGATGCTACACCTACGCGGACGATGACTGATACCAATACCCCAGCCCCACAGACTCGTAAAACCCGAGCGTGAATTCATTGATGAGCAGGGAGGGATAGTTGTTTAGTCCATGCTCGCTCGTGTGCGGTCTAAATGGTTGCGCACAGGCCGATCTTGACTTCTTGACCATAGACAGCGGCACGCTATATAAACGATGTTTGACGCGTGTGCGGGTTTGTAAACTAGCATGGCTTGCGTGGCTGTTCATAGGCGGATTCAGCTGAGGGTTATTGTAGAAGCTTGCTGAGGGTGTTGGGATGTAGGATCTTGACCGCACATATTGTGAGGTGATGCGGAAGCCAGTATTGACAGCTAACTCCAAATCGATAGACCTGCTCGACAAGATTCGTGCGCGAGCGGGGTTGATGCGGGGTTCGGACCCAACGCTCGAGACCATTGTCCCGACCTGGCTGTACCCGGCAAAGTATCGTCACAGCCACAATTTACCAAAGTAGGTCGTTGTTTCCAAGGCTTGCCTATTCCCGCCCAAAGTCCGCTTACGCACACAATGAGTTCAGCAGGTCTAACGACATGATACCATCTGAATCATCGTTCTCATTCGCGCATGAGACTTCGAGGAGCCATGACGTTCGCCTAGATCACAGCGTTTCCTTGCTAGGCCCGGCCTGTCACTCTTCAGCGACACATGATACAGACATGTGCACCTCTTACCATTGTAACTTCTGCCAACGTGGGTGATCCTGGACCAGCGCAGCAGCTTCTTCACCCATATTTTCTTGAGTGTGCGAAAGAAGTCGTCTAGACAGGACGCTGACGCCCGGGGAATTCTGCTTCCGAACGCGGTGTGCATCTTCCCTGTGATCGGTTAGCACTTGTCAGTCAAATAACCTCAGGTACAATCGGACATCGATAGGTTTATATTGAATCTAGTGGCCACGATGACATATGGATGGGCTTCATGAATGTTACGTACAATATGCCAAGGCAATGTTCCCGTGTTCTGACCAGGCGCTAACTTGAAACACTCGCGATCAATACAGGAACTCTCTCCAGAGGCGTCCCTTTTGTTTGGTGCCCATGCAGGAATCATCGCTATGTATCGCGCCCCACAAAACACCGCACTTGCGATGAAAATTCTTCCCGTGCGTCTGCGAGCGCACAGGACTTCGATTTGCGTAACTTTGTACAAGTATGACAGGTCACGAAGTGCACGAAACGCACTGTTCTCCTCTTCTCCTCGTACCTTCAGAATTGTTCTCGCTTTCCGAGACTTGCTTTACCTGTGCGAGATGAGCCAAGAACTACTGTACATAGTTTACTAGCAGGGTTTTGACTCGGATGAGGCACAGGTGATTTATGAATGATGCTTTTGCATAGGAGAGTCGCACTTCTGTCAAAGATTCGTTAGCCACAAATCCGAGCAAGACCATGACCGTCGGCGGCTGACCTACGCTATATGGAATATAGACCCGAGGATATGAAAAAAAAGACTGTCGGTGGCTGATTTTCAAGGATCAAGATCCGATTGTGAGCATATCGGCTAAGCGATGTTCGGGAATATTCGGGTGCAACCGGACGCATCCGTATCAGGACTGCTCGCTTGTTCATTCGCAAGCCCCGCCTGTTTGGGTAGGTGGTCTCAACCCTGGCGACTTGTTTACATGAGACTGGCGGTGGGAGCTCGCCATGTCGATCATCGGTGACTATGGGATCAGTCGGGGTTCGAACAACTACCAGACAAGGTGGGCGCTCCGCGAGTAAACGAGCGAGCGACAAGCATTGAGCAACCTTATTCATTTTCGTACCTCGTGCAGCAGACTGAAGTTTGTCATTTCGCCCGATAATGTTTGAAAACAAAAACCCCGGCTTCGGCAGATCTCAGCACTCGCTAAGAAATCGCGTTAGCATGCAATTCAGGTGAGCGTCCCACGAGGTTGCGCTCCGGTCCGCTGACTGTCAATGCCTTAGGTCGCAATGTTCAAAAACCACATTTTGTTCTTTTCCTGGGAATATGGCAAGAAGACTATAGCGACGGTAGGCTCACCCCTTCTGATCGGATGAAACGGAACGATAGCCTTGACAGTGACCCAAGAGCAAAATGCAGCCACGCAGTCTCTATAATGCTGCGCCCTGTTCGTCGATTATACCAAAGCAAAACATAGGACCCGTAAAAGGGTCTATTTTCTATTACAGCCAGCTTCATCCATGTCAGGATTGCGTGCGAGATGAGGTACGACCATCGCCAGCGTCGAAAACGTTTAGCTCACTTGTTGCTTAGATTCATCACCTCACAGCGTGTCTGCACGCAGTAATTGCGCCTGTAAATGGTCACCGGATGCAACGTATCTCCAGTAGGGACCGAAACGGCGCTATATGTACAATTCATACATACAAGGTAAGATTGCGTCGACTGTTTTGTTGCTCGTTCGACGGGCATGTTCGCATATTTTCAGCTCACGCACCAATGATTCGAAGCAGCCGAGCGAAGTCCACCCATTTAGGGTCAATATACCGTGTCAGGAGGTGGGATATGGCAAACTCAATACGTAAGCAATGTCGACACAGAATGCAGGGTTGTGCCCTGATCTAAACATAGCCTCAGCGGGACAAATGTCACTGCTAGATCGTATGCCGTACAATCAATAACGTCCTCGCTTATTCACATAGACGCGCTTCCGGTGATTCTTTCGCCGACCTGGATATCTTGGGTCATCATCATCACGGAAACCGACTGCAGATCGAACTTTCCGGTAAGTGTACATACCGCATTTTTATAGCATATACTCGTTTGTCTGGCAATTGTATGAGCCTCGAACGTCTACTTTGAAATCTGAGACGAGGCCTCGTGTCTATTGATCACCTTCACGCAGCGGTCGGTGCAGAGACGGCCTTGATCTAATCCATATCCAAGACTGCGGAGAATGTAGAACTTGCTTCCTTGGGAGATACGTGGCGCATGTTGTACGTCAATGGCGTTTCTGTAGTCGTCCGGCGCTCAGAGATCTCCGTATTGCTCAATGGAGTAGAGCATTTCGCCAGAGTCAAGTGACCTGCATTGTAGCGTATATAAAGCTGGCTGGACGGTCCCTGCAGCCAGTACAGCTTCTCGAATCTACACGAACTAGTAACAATGGCGTCGTCTCATCTTCCCAACGGAATCTATCTTCGCTCTTGTGCGTTTTACCCCTCTTTGCATTCGTATAGTATACATAACATCAACTCCCGCAGCTATCAATGCTACACCCGCCACCGACCCCCGGGTTTTGGCCGCCTTAGTGAGTTTGGTTTCAACACACCGTTTCCGTTCTGTGGTTCACGTCCCCGCCAGAGCCCCGACATCATTCCGATGGGGCAGACACAGCCTGAGGCTAAAACTCTCATCGCTGCATATGATCATTTCGTCTCACACGAGATCGATCCCGGCGAGTCGAAGACTCGCATCTACTTACGCGGCAAAGCAAGCATCAGGGGCCACGCCGGCCCGGTCAAGACTGAAATCACCCTCAAGGCGTTCCCCAACGAGCTCATTCCGTGGCCCCAGGCTTGGGCGAACGCGCCAGACATTGCTCAGGCTACATTGACAGCTTCTACGGACGGACAAGGTACTCTCGTGTCGATAAAGATGTACTTCGGGAGTTACTCAACGTTGGCCGGTCTGGGTTCATTGTACAGTCACCGTGACGGAGGTTCCGGCCGTCTACAACCCCACTAAAGGACTCGGAAGACACGACACACTTGTTGCAATCGGCAGAAAGGATCCGGTACGGCACGCCTCGAACTGGCGCGATCTCGTCAAACATGTAGGCCAGGACCCGGCGCTCGCGACATACAATGTCGCCTTCTCCGATCCATGCTCGACGGATATCAGCTTGACGACCAGGTTCAGGCTTCCCGAAAACCAGTACCACAACGTAGCTATGGCTTTCGTAATCGAGGTACATTTCCAGCACGGTTTTCATGAAAAGTACTCACAGTCATTTGTTTCCCAGGCCGTTAGTACGCCCGTCAACGACATCGACGTCTCTTTGTCCTGCTTCGGGGCCGCACCCAACTCCAATCCGTTCTCATTTGGCTGTCCTCGCAGGAACATCCGGCCCTCTCAGCTGCTCATCACTAAGGCTAGCGTGCCCAAGGACTTCGACGGTACTATCACGCTCAACGTCTTGAACGACAAGAAACACACATTCGGCGACTACTCCACCATTTCCTTGGTCGCCTACGCAGTCACAAACGTGCATGGCGAGGACAAGTATACGATTCTCGGCGCGGAGCATATTGTCTTTAACTCTGATACACGCGTGAAAAAACTCCTAAACAAGTTCGATACTGAGTACGAAGCTGTGCCTCCCGCCCCTGAAGCCCAAACTACGGCCAGTGCTGCGAGTAATGCCGCACCCTATGCCTTCTACTTCCGAGACGCGGTTAACACCGGGTGGCCACGTCCCGCAGTCTCCGCGATGTCCCCTGGTACGCGATGGCAGATACCTCAGGAATATGAGGAGAAACCTGATAATTTTTTGTAGACATCCAGCCCATGGGTACTACACCGGATCCCAATATCCAAAGCGATCTTGGACCACAGAATTACAACGTGGACGTTTCCAGTCAAAAGGAAGTCGTAAGTGATTCTTATTCGGGGATGAGCGAGCGTTGCCTTGCTTACATTACCATATTCGCGCAGGAATTGGAAGAGAATGAATCCAATTACATCTATGTGCGCGGTACTACTACCAGACCCACGGGCGGCTCTGCGCGACTGTTTGCAGTACCTGCCTCTATCATACTGCACCCTTCGCAGTACAGTCAGCACTCTGTCATGGACTACAGGCCAGACGGCGATCCTGTCCCCGCAATTCGTCGTTTCAAGACCAAGTCCAAAGACTCTACGAACCCTGTTCTTTTCACGGAGCCGTTCAACTTTGCTAATCCCCCTCCTCCCGCGGCAGGCGACCACTACTGTCTTGTTGCTGAGTACAGGCCCGACGGATACGATTGCAACGGCTTGGCATACAAGTGGCCCAATGAGGAAACCGGGGACTTTGGAACATCTGGCGAGTGGACGGCCTGGCTCCAATGCAACCCGTACGTTTGCCAGCGCAACATCGGTTATGTCAGCAATCCGGATGCCCCGTGTCAAGTCATTCATACCTGCTTCACGATCCCGGGTGAGTTCGTCATTGTCATTGTCTCCATGCCATTTGTTACTAATTCTCCTGTTTCAGGCTCGTTCTGCGCGTGTGACCTCTGGGTGTATGAAGTCTATGCGATCAATTGCCCCATAGGTTCTTACATGTACGCAAATCATTCTTCTGATGTCGATATTACCTGACAGACTCATACGTAGCGAGGTGACCTCGACTGATTCTGCCATCGTCATACAGAAGTTCACCATACAGAATGAGTGCCAGGTTTGCGCATTATAGCATGAACTCTGTAATTGGAAAGAAAGCTGACATGTAGCTCAGGTTCAGGGTGTTGTATTCTCGAACAAAGGTCCCGGGTTTACATGCCAAGTCACTATCAGCTGGTTTGCGAATGGCAAGTCGATGCAAAACGGCCAGTGCATCAAAGGTGTTCTCTCCTCCATGAAATTGACGACTTGGTGAGAATCCTTGATGCAGGGACAAATATATACGGTGACTGAGAACCCCTTCTCTAGCGTATTGGGAGATAGGCATCGTCGCAAGAGGAAGCCTTGCGGCCCGTTCGTGCGCGCTGTTCAGGCTGACTACCCGAACATAGAGGTTCCCGGGACAGCCGATGCCTCTAAGGACACCGAGCCTCCCAAGATCGGCGGAGTGCACAGACGCCGCGTTCTTGGAGAGACTTACAGTACTCCTGGCGGAATCTACAGCAACTTCACTGTCGGAGACGACTCGTTGGGATACTCGCTCGCGTAGAGACTGTGGCCGTCGTGTTCTATGATGCCAATGTTCTGTAAGCCCTCCTCGATCTCGTCGCTTCTGCTGTTGTAGTACCTGCTCTGCGACGTTGGTGATCCAATGTTCGTCTCGTTGTCGTCAGTACTATTGTACAATATCTGTAAAAATAGCTTGAGAGCAGTGGTTCCAAATTGTTTCCGTTGCTAAAATGTTTTGTGTACAATCACGGGAAACAGGTTTACATGATTCGGCAAGATCTGTAGACGTAACTGCCTTCGAGGCGCTGGACGTTCTGTATGTCCTGGACGGTCTGTATATCTTGGACGTTTACAAGCCAGTTGATTCAGCCTGCCACTCGCGTTCAGGGCGCCTCTTGGAGAACATAGATCCAGCTGCCTTGCCAGTCGTGTGTAAGAAGAATTGGTGACGCACGTCTTCTTTGATAGTGCGTTATATAACCGACCTAATATACAAAGGTTCACTACTTACTAGGTACGTTCAAAATTGCCGCTTAAATCTCGCTGGAAAACAAGCGGCATTTAAGCGGCCAAAAGCAGCGAGCAGAATCTGAGCTCCCCTCCTCGAACAGCGACAAATAAGCGACTACTCGGCGCAAGCGCTCGCAGATTCTGGCTTACGGCTATGTCACGCTTGCATGATTCACCATCCTGATTGGCTGGTCAGCCCTTCGCGAACCGAAAACGTGATCAAATCACGGCTGCATCACGCTTAGTCATCTGTGACGCTTTCAGCGACCTTTCAGCGACCTTCAGCCACATTTGGGCGCTCAAAAGCAGCGAAAAGTCGCTTGTTTTCCAGCGAGATTTAAGCGGCAATTTTGAACGTACCTAGTTATAAATATGGTATACGTAGGCGCTCATCTGCCCTGTCCCTAAAAGGCACACGATAGAGCGCAATTCTTTTACTCTTACATGAATACCCGCACATCTCCAATATAGAAGCTGGTGCAGTATACCTACGCTCTGAGTAAGGTTCTTGACAATAACGCACCTCATCAGGAATCGTAAGCGAGTTTAGCTGCCGGTTAGGCTTCGTACTCAAGCCGCAGGTACACTGCAACAATCTCTGTATTGGAGACGTGCGGGCACCGTGGTTAGAGTAGAAGCTGGGTTGCGACCCTTTGCGCGCTCGTCCTCATAAGGCCGGGCGCGTAATTTTGTGTTATATGCTCCACCCAGACGAGCTGAAGGACAGCTGTGAGTTCATGCAAGTCCTCATACAGAGACCAGATCTTAGCATCGGATTTCTCGAGCGCTGGAAAGCGTCACGAATCGGACTGCTCCTGCTGGTCCTCGTCTTCTTGTCCTTAGTCGTTGGTATAATCTACACGGAGACGACCGAAGACGTTTCGAGTAGCTTCACGATCGCAAGTACGTCCCTTCTAATCACAAACTGAGCATTCACTTTTGACGACTTTGTCCGTTCAGGCTACATGATTTCCGCGTACTCAGTATGCCTTGTCTTCATTGGCGTACTGAACTTGGTAGACCTCTGACACTCATGCACAATTTTATACACACCGTACTTGACACTGGCACGTAGCACTTTTACCCAAGATGTCTCAGCGGCGAGCGCTGCACGTCTTCCTATCAGTATTTACCAATAAAAAGATATTATTGTCTTTATTTGGTCCATCAAGTAACATGCTACATTACACTGCCCCAGGTGTCGTTCCGTCGAGCTGTCAAGACGGCTAGGCTTCTGGAAGGGATAAAGACCGAAGACGACGAAGTCACATTCGTATTTGACTCGCTTGTAGGCAGCAAACACGTAGGAAATAAAGTACAAAACAGACTGTGTAAAGACCATAGTACGCAGCCATCTGAGCTACCACCGTAAGAATCGACTGTAGTCTGTGTTGGAACACGGGCGTAGCGATGCCCGTAAGGGACCATCGCGTGCGGTACATACATCGCGAGCGATCGATTCCGGCCCCTGGCTACTATCGTGCCTGAGCTTGCGAGCTCGTTCCTGACCACACGCTTCAACCTTGCAACAAAGGCTGTGCATGATTCTGCGCCTCCAATCATACAACACAGGTACACGCATACTGCCGAGCCAGGAGGGTGCTGAAATACTCAGACATGAACTGTCCTCAGGCCAGAAGACGTAAAGGTCTCTGAAAAGACCTCACCAGAGGTTTCAAGCTGGCACTACACCTAGGTGCGCAACCTGGGCTCGTTCTGAAGACCTGGACAGGAGCATTCGAATTCGTCGCGTACGTGACGTTAGCACACAGAACGCCCAGGTAAAACCACTCTTCTTGTTCTCAGAAGTGATGAGGGAATCGCATGCTACATGACTGAAGGCGACGCGATTTCGCCTGATCTATATTATCCACTGCGTAAAATCTAGACATACCGTACACGAGGGCGTTATAAAATTAGCATCAGACAATCCAGTTAGACTACACCTGTTCGCCAGGTCCATTCTGCCCCTCCGACGTCTTCTCGTCAATCGGCTCCTTGTTGTCTGTGACAGACACTGATTGCAACGAGACCTCCTGAATCTCCGTATTCGGCTGTGGGATAGCTGCGGCAGCCTCGTCAGTCTCGTCGCTCTCCTTTGCCTTGACCTTCTTGTTCAACTTCACCCGCACAGTGAAGAGCGACGCGATGAAGCCAACAGCCACCAACGCCGTCGTCGCAATCATCATGCGCGAGAACGCAGCGCCGTACGCCTGGCGCACAATGTGCTGCACCTCGGCCGGCGCCTGCTGGAGGAGGGCGACGGACGAGACAGCGTACAGATACTGCCCATCGACTGCGTCAGCGCATCGTACACTTCAGCCCCATCGCGGAACACATACCGGCGCAGAGACGGGGTTCGCGAGGACGCGCTTCGTGAGCACGTTCTGGATGATGCTCCCCTGCACCGAGATGCCGACGATGCCGCCCAGGCTCTTGCTCCACATGGTCATCGTCGTCACGCTCGCAAGCTCGCCGCGCTGCACCTGGCTTTGCGCGGCGATCGTGTTCGTCTGGTAGACGAAGCCCATGCCGCAGCCCGCGATGATGAGGAAGGCGAACTCGGCCCCGCGGGGCGTGGTGCCGTTGAAGAGGATGCACAGGCCGGTCCCGATGAGGTTCACCGCGCCGCCGGCCATCAGCCACGGGCGCACCCAGCCCGTCTTGGAGACAAGCATGCCCACGAGGACAGAAAAGAACGAGAGCGGGAGGATGCTAGTATGCATGGTCAGCTTTGAGTCGCCTCCTGGACAGGCGAGGGACTCACTAAGGGAGCAGCTCGATGCCGGAGATGAGTTGCGAATCGCCCTTGACGAGCTGGAAGTACGTCGGGATGTAGAGCGCAAGACCGTACACCGCGATATTGGTGAAGAAGTAGTTGACCGTCGACGTGATCACGTTGCGGTGGTGGAACATCGATAGCGGGATAACGGGTGACGGCGGGACATAGTTCTCATACAAGATGAACACGGGGATGAGTGCGGCGCCGATAGCGAGGAGCACGATGACGCGAGTGCTGCTCCATGGGTACATGGTGCCACCCCACGAGAGCGCAAGCAGTAAGCAAACGACGCATACGGAGAGGATCGCAATGCCGCCGAAGTCGATGTCGCGCAGCGTCACATTCTCCTTCTTCCTATCCGGGATTTTGTTCAGCAAGAAGAAGATCACGGCGATGGCGAGCCCGCCAATGGGTAGGTTGATATAGAAGCACCAGCGCCATGTTACATCGCGCGTGAAGATACCTGGAAGTAGGCGAAGTCAGAGGTGGCGAGCAGGGGGCATGAGGCTTCTTACCTCCGAGGACCTGGCGAAAGCGTCAGTGAGTAGTAATACAACGAGCAGATGGATCACATACTGGACCAAGCACATTGGCGAGTGCAAGACGAGCGTACATTACACCCATGTATCGACCCCGATCTCGAAGTGGCACCATCCTGGATGCCAGTAAGCATCCTGGTGTTCGGTAGGAAATATAGCACGTACTGGCTGATCATGATGATAATGATCACCTAGGAGTACAATCCATATTAGTGTGTTCCTTGCATCCCCTACGCTCCTGACGCACCATCAACCCGGCCCCTCCTATGCCTGTATAATATGACTTCAGTATGTCTGACTAACGCATACAATAGACTTGAGACATACCAGCCACCGCTCGCGCACAACAGAGCCATATAAAGTTCTGTGCGGTGGCAGTCATCAACGAGCCGAATTCAAAAAGGAAGATGGCCGTGAAGAGCATGGCCTGGCGGAGGTGAAAACAGTGAGCACAAAACCCGAGCGGTGAGCGAGATGCTGGCAGACCTTACAGCCCCATAGCTCTGAGGCACGACCGAAGAAGGGCTGAAAGACGGTTGATGTCAACAGATATGAGGTCGCGATCCCTGTATTAAAGTGACGTCATTTATGTTCTTCATTACCGACGAATGCAAGGATTGATCGTACAGCTTTGCTCATTCAGATGATCGAACTCCGAGGCAATGGTAGGCATGGACGTGGAGACTATGGTTTGATCCAGAGCGGCCAGGAAACCACCCATTGCGAGACTACCGATGTTGTGTAAGTATCTGCAACATAGTGGTATTGCACCTTGGAATCACCTCAGGAAAGCCAAGTGGATCTCCCATGGCTTCATGTTATGTGAGAGCCCATTGAGCTCGACCGAGTTCTCCTGCGGAGGCTGTTCCTTCGCAATGGAAGATTCATCTGCAGAAAGACGAACGGATGACTTCTCGGTGGTGGGAGCAGGGGAGTCGCTCATGGTGGTCCAGGGGGTGGAAGAAGGGAAAGGACCGTTTTAGCAACAGGACAGGGCCGCGGGCGGTGCCACCTGAAGGCGTCTGCAAGCGTGCGGCAGGGCCCTTCTTCTCCGACGACTCAGCATGTCTGTGAGAGCACTTTGATCATTGGGCGCCTGTTTGGCGTTCCGACTTTCTCGGGCCCCCAATTGGGCGCTCGCACACTCGGCTTCCGTCACTGCGGCGCGCGACACTCAGATTTATGTTTTGATCATATACAAAACTCACTTACTCGGCACAGGAAGCGGGGCCCTGGATACTTGCATGTCAGCGCGCTGTCCGCAAGAGGCTATGTGCTTAACAGCGTGTCGACGGCAACTCCATCAAGCCAGTCCTAATGGAGGTCATCATCAAAGTGGCGTATCACCCGATTGCCAAAGACATCATCTGCGTTGTCGATTAGTCCTCAGGGGTCCTCCCCCTATGTTCTTCGAGTCGTACGTTTTCACGGAAGCTTCTCCGTCGGCAGCAGCTCCTAACCGTCAGACGCCATGACTATACGTAGTCCACAGTCAGTCATTGTCCGGCGACTCAAAACCGGCACCCGGCACACGGCACAAATGACCGCAAAGCGCGGTGCAACTGCGAGTCCAAGGAGCCAGTGAGACAGGCATCACGTTGGCGCCTAAGCCAAGTAAAGTATCGACGAGCCGCAGAGAACGAGAGTAAAGAGATACCAAGATACCCATAAGCTCTCAACGAGCGGCACGGACTTTGTATCAAAAGGATTAACATGGGAAGGACGAAGTCAGCATACATGCATGTGAATGCAAAGTAAAGCAACAAAGGCATCTAACTTGTCTTATTGCGTCCACATCATCAAAGCATAATTTTGGCCTTCCATACCGTGTCAGCCGAGTAGACTTCTTTATCTGGAGATGAAACTCGGAAAGTCGATCGCCAAGATTGTTCAAGGCATCTTCCCTCCGAAGAAATCCAATTTACTCCGAGCGCCGCGGAATGGATCTAGAGATTGTACACAGAAGCATGTCTCTGTTATTGCAAACGCGGTCTCAATTGATAAGTTACATAGGACAAGCTTTCTACGATAATAATTGGTGATATTGAACAAAAGCATCTACAACGGACTGTCGACCCTTAGGCAGTCTTGCGAGGAGTAAACAAAAGCGGTGAGCCGTCTGTGGGCTTCGCTCCGTCCGGGAACCTGACACTGTAGCGCTTTAGGATGAGGCTTAGCGCGATCTTCATCTCGTGCACCGCGAAGAAGCGGCCAGGGCACGCATGGCTGTGATCGAAGACGACTCAGCTCAGTGAACCAGTGACAGAAAATGCAAGATAATGAAAGACTGACCGCCCTAGACCAAACGCAATCATGTCCGGGCCAATGCGCGCAGCGCCCTTGTCTGTCCCGACGAATCGCCATGCATTGAACTCTCTCGGGTTAGGGCCTTGCAGCTCCGGGGAGTAGTACACGTCCTCCGTGTTGATATTCACGACCGTTCCTGCAGATCACATCATAGCCCTTTCGTGAGCAACGACACCCGACCAGAGGTCTTACAACATACCCTTGGGGAGGACATATCCGCCAGGGAGGTGCCACTCGTCCATACCAACGATCTTGTGCGGGAGCGCGATGCTGCGGCCGCTCGTGCGCAGACTCTCGCGGATGAAGCTGTCGAGCTTGCTGAGGTTCTTGAGCTGGTCGAGGGTGACTGTGCCATCCGCCCAGTCGTCGCCGAGCACCGCGCGCTGCTCCTCGAGGAGCTCAGGCACGTACTGCGGGTACTTCGCGAGGTTGTAGAGGCAGATCGTCGTGCGCTTCGTCGTCGTGTGGATCGAGAAGAAGACCAGCGTGAGCATCATGGTGGCGAGCTCGTGCTCGTTGACTGGCTGGTCCAGCGGGACGGTGTTGAGATATGCCTGCAGGGAGTCGAGCTGGGCGGCGGGTAAGGATTCATAGCGCTTCGATCGCAATCATAGGACGTACCGGTGGGTCATACTCGTCACCGAGCTCTTTCATGAGCCGCCGCCGCTCATGGACGATGGGCATTGTGTCTAGCCGATGAATAAAATCAGTGCAGGAACGACACGAGCAAATCGGACGTCACGAACATTGCAGCACCTTGGCACGATATACCGCGGTAGGCGAGGATAGGTTGAACTTAACCCTAAAATACGTGGTGAGCGCTGCACTTCACGTCCTTAGAACGAATTGGTGCTTACCACATGTACAGCTTAGCAACTGACGGGAGCAGAGCGAGCACCGGGCTTTTGCGGTTAACGAAGTGCCCGATGGACGCCGCAAAGTCTTTGTAGACAGGGATAAGCTCGCTATTGGTGCCGAGTTCCTGTTCAAGACGGTATGCCTGTCAGCGCCAGCACCTTGGCCCGTCGAATCTGCGAGAACAGACCTCGCCAAAGAAACAGACGGTTGTGGCCCGTGCAATCACGTCCATAATCAGATTCGACGGGCTCTCGACTTGCAAAGGCGCCTGGATGTCCGCGCCCACGCCGCGGTCAAAGCCGCGTGTGAGCACGTTTGAGAGAACGGGGATGAAGCGCGCGAGGAACGGTGTGATGATGACCGCGAAAAGGCGATGTGGCTCGAGGTCCGTCTGTGACGTTCCGAGCATATCTGCAAGGCGGAACTCGTCCTTCACGGCTTCCTGTTCTCAATCAATATGACGATGTGTGCTAGCCAATCGCGACAATGAGGACGTACCTCGTAGCTGAAGGCGGGGTTCAGGAAGATATCGCGGACGTGTTCCTTCCCGACTACGGCCTGGACGTAGCCACGGAAGTACACCCGGAAGACAGGGCCATATTTCTCATACGAATTGACTGTAAAGGCAGTGGGGTCTTTGATGAAATCGAAAGTGGAGCCAAGGATCGGCCACTATGAAAGACTTATGAACAATCCCACATCGCCCATAAGGTTAATACGCGTACTTTGTATTCAACGAGCGGAGGGAGTTTGTACTTGCGGCTGCCAAACCCACCCACAGTCAGCCTCCATACGATGAGGGAGACCGCACTTATGAGAACGGTGGCGAGGGCCTGTGGCGAGAGGAGATCGACAGCCATGGGTACGAGGTGTTGGGATCGAACACAAGTGGGGGGGTTTAAATACCATTCAACTAATCTACCGCCGTTGACATGGCGCGACTGATTCGGCGACAGATGACATCTGTATAGTTGGTCGTATCACCATGCCGCATACATATGGGGATGTATCGAGATGCTCACTAGGTACTGAATCTGGACTACAAGTTTGACACTCTTCGGGAAGAAGGAGGGAGGGCGATCTAAGAAAAACGTGAGAGGGGGGCCTGAAACAATCAGCGGTGACCGCTCACCTGCCATCAACCTGTCCTGCGGCGGAGCACTCGCTTATGACAACAAACAATATGAACTGTACGTGCCAGAATTGCACCTCACGGTGTATTCCTAACTTGCTATAGGGGTAGAATCCCGAGTCCCTAGACCTGTCGTTTACTCAGTCACATATCGAGGACGGTGCATGTTTGAATGTCAGGGCACTAGTTAACCTTGATGGAGTTGTGGGCGCGCTAGCGATAGATGTCAAGCGCCACTCCCCCATATAGTAAGTAAACGTTGTGCCTGTCAGGATTGATGTCTTCAGTACTGCCTCCCTCTTTCCGAGTACTCCCAACTGTTGCTCGTCAGACAACACGTAGTGATATTACGGGACCCGAAGCTACCTCCGGCCGATACCAATTTCATGTCCCGAGGTAAACCCCGACTCTAATCCAAGGTCCTCGTAGCCATTTTGATCGTTGCAGTTGTTCATGTGGAGTGTAAGCCTTGGGCAGTCACAGCGCCACTGTTCGAGTCACATGCCTGTGTAGTCCAATCAAGCCGCTTGGAAACAACACCGGTTCCAGCGGAAATCACGGTGATCGAGATAAGACGCTGCCAAGATGACTTTCGGCGCTCCGGTGGGGGCGGAAGTCCATTTTTGTCGTTCTGCCAAGTTATCTCTTGCATCGAGCGTGAAGGCAAGATGATCCTCGAGAGTGTGCATTGTGGCAGGACTCCTAAATACTGTATGCTCTTGTTTGTGCATTGTGGCTGACTTATCATGATTGCGGGTCAATTGATTCTTGCGTGGTCATCACTGCTTCTCATGTTAATCGTGCCAGCCTGCATCGTGCGAGTTGCCGCTTTGTCTCCCGTAAGCAGACACATATACTATGACCTTTGTGATATCGGGAAGATAACAATGACATATAGAACTGACATGCTGCATACATAGGTCTTAGCGCTTGTATCTTGATACATCATGGCAAATGCTCTCAGTCGAGGCGATGGATAGCGATACAGAGCCCAAGGCTCTTCTCCTGCATTGGCATAACGACTAGACCAGTAATTGAACATTAGGGAGCCCTCGGAACAACTTCCAACGACTCATTCGTGAATAATGAACAATGTGGGTTTTCGATGTATGGTAATGTTCCCACTGCATTCTACCTTGACGCCTGCTATTCTACAACTTACCCAGGTGGTGTTGACGCACGGACCAGGATATCACCTCAAATCTCGCACGCCTTCATCAATATGAGCTGAGACGTATTGGGCAGTGCGATATTTACAATCCGCATGTATCGCAGTTAGTTATAACGAAGCCGATCTTTTCACCCGCCAACGACTCAGTGTGTCCTACCTCGCTCCATGGTACGATGTATCAGGGGCTACTCACCGGGCATATGCAATCATTCATCCTCCTTCTGCCTCTTCTAATGGTTCTAGATACTTGCCTCGCGGGGAGAAATGCAACAATCGACGACCAGTGGGGAGACGAACTTACGGGATTAGTACCGGTCTTTACCCCCGCTAATGAATGGCAGCAAGGTGCAGAATGCGCCGGATGCCAACTGAAGCCCAATGCATCCTTTGCTTATGACCATACTTGGCACGATTCCACATGGGACCCCGTCAGGAGACCCATTCCGCCTGCTGTTCAGCTTCTTTTCAATGGTATCACCTCTGACTCTTGCCGTGCAGACGACCGACTTACATCTAGCTTTCAGGCACTGGGATCTACGTCTTCTGTATCCAAGGGAATCTTGTTCCATGGAATGCAGTTGCTGTCGTAGAAACGAGAATGAACCTTTCTTTCATCCTCGATGGAGAACCTGCGGGATGGTACTTGTATGCTCCCAACAACAAATCCCAGGAATTCGCTTATAATGTCGCAACGTACACCAATGCGAGCCTGGCAGCGCTGCCTCCTGGAATGGCGCATAATCTAACCATTGTGTCGCACGCAGTCCATTTATTCGATTATGCGATATACACGTGAGTGATAATATGTACTCGTCATCATAAATGCCGAACAGTCATAAAGGACGCAAGACGATGACGAATCATCGGTCTCTCCTGGGACTACGTCATCACAAGTATCCGTGACGATGACATCCCCTCCCTCTGCCTCTCCAGTTCAAACGAACCCATCCTCCGCAGCCAGCACCAGAAGCTCAACGAATATCACTGTGGGAGCGGCGACGGGGGTTGCGGCCGGATTGTTCGCCTTGGGCGTGCTTGTTCTGTATATCCATTGGCGGAAAAGGCCCTCAAGGCCATCTAGCAGCAGGACAGCATTATGGAACGGCTCCATACTAAGGTGCATCGAGCCTTCTCACCGAGCCACAAAGTTCCAGCATACCGCAGGTCCCATGCCAATTCCGTTGTCACCCCAAAGTCGTACTACAATAACGAGTATCTCGTCGCCACCACTGCGTGAGAGGCAGGGCAGGGAGCAGGAGGGGATGATACTTGCTCTACCACGTGTAGACCCGTCGTCGTCATCCTCTTCCCAGCCACCAACAGATGCGCACGAGTCTTTGTACGCTCCACCTGGTGCATGGTGTTCGGACAGCCAATCTCCTCCAGAGTACTCTAATTAGCGCATGTTCCTGGCGTAAGGGATACGTAGATACAGCACTACGGTAGAGCAGTCAAAAGATCGTTGTCGTGAACGAGAAAGTAACTTAGGCATGGCGAGAGTCCAGGTGTAGGTGATGAGATTTCAATCTCTGATCTCAGGGCGTATATATCGTTGAGCTTATCCTCTGTCAACCGAACTTGCATTCGCCAGGTGCTTATGTCTAGTTCACGATTTAAGGAAAAGGCTCGCATTAGGATCGAAATCCGGGGTGATCCGTCCGGAACATGCCGAAGCTGCCTTGAATCATGCACAGGCTCGTTCGCTGAGTCTATCGGCACCATTGACCAGGCGCACGGTGACCCTGATTTCAAGCAACTCTCACACACACAGCAGAGCGAGCTCTGCGAGCGAAGCAACGAGTGCACTCAAGAAGCCAATACCGCATGACTACGTTCTAACACTCTCAACTGCTGTATGGGCGCCATTCGGCTCAACCATTCTCCGGTCACCAACGTTACCTTTACATTTGGTCATATGAAATACAAGGCTCAAAGTGTGCTTCAATATCTTCAGTTGTCGCCACAGCCCAGTGCGTTTGCGCGGAGATACAGATCGCCGCACATGCGAAGCTAGCTCGACTGACGACTCCTAACTGTACCTAAGTATTGTGCGCATCCGCCTCACCGTCCATACTGTTACCCTTTTTTAAAATCTCTTGACTCCCTGATCCCATATATATTACTGATGTGGATACTCCGCGAGCTCTTTCTTATCCGTCTTCGCATAGCATCGCAAGAAGAAAATGATAGTCGATGATGAACTGCGATACAAACTCACAGGCACAGGTAAGTGGCAATCATCTACGTCTAATAGTGAATTGGAGCAAGGTGTCCAATTCTCCGAATGTCAATTGAACTCGAAAGGCTCTCTGGCCTATAACTACATTTAGATTCAGCATGATTCCCCATACGATCCTTGCAGGCGCCAGTCCATCGTACAACTGTGGAACCCTGTCGGATGACAGAGAACACTCGGTGCTGAATGCAGACGTAACAGAACCGAGCAGAAAGCAGGTATATTGATTCTAGTGTATGGAAAAAAGGGAATGGTACGAGATGATGATGGTACAAAGGAGAAGGGAGTTCGCTCTCGATCCTGGTACGCGCGCGGAAGCAACCCAGCGGCACCAAACAAACAGACAGATGGGACAAATACATGATGTCACTATGCGTCACTGACGTCTGCGTGCGGGATGTGCGTATAGGATGTGAGCGCGAGCTTACAAACTGCTGTATACTGGTACTAATGCTTGGCCCCCTTTCCATGTTGCTCTCTCACCACTAGTATTTCAGGTACAGGGATTTACGTTTTCCACATTCTTGGGAATCCGTGAGATAAGACCGCAGTTGTCGAAACGGAGATGAATGAATCTCACTTTATGATTGACGGAGAGCAGGCCAGCCGGTATCTGTATTCTCCACATAATGAGACACGAAGTTGTCTATATGTGAGCTCCCACCTGACTCGTGTTCATGGCTAACATTGATGTAGCTCTGGAAAAAGATATAGGAGGGCGTCACATTCATCTCCTCCAATGTTGCGGCTTCATCCGCAAGTGCCCCTTCGAGCTCACATTGACTAAAACCCGTGCGAGAAGCGATATTGAGACAGGTTCTGTCATTTTCAGCAGCCAGACAGTCTTTGTTGACAAGCGGTGCATCCAGATCGTCATGCCATATCTTGACCAGCATCATGATCAGAGAGGCGGCTTAGTTGCGATTGGAACACCGCTGCTGTTCTGCTGCCGACGAAGTATTCCCACTCCATCTAACAAGGCTAAAGTGCTCCGATGGGACGAGCCATATGCCACCGGACAGTGTTTACAATCCTGTGTATCGTACATTGTGACTATCCAGTTCTGTGGTATCCCGGTTCTCTCTAGTCCATTTTCATTGAAGTACCTTTGTCAGGCACTTGCGCTGTACTGCCACGCCACGCCAAAAGGCGCGTTTGTAGCAACTGCAGTATCTTAGCTGATGACTAACAGATGGTCACTATACTAATTGACTCTGTCGCTTGTGGATTCAGTTCACTTTCCACCTAATAAATCCCACGCCAAATGTTACAACAGTCTATACTCCTATATTGATGCCTGACTCGTAGACGACGAGCGAGG